GATAACCAACAGTGTTAACTGCTGACATTGTTTACGATCTGATTACAGATAATTTGTAGTCCAGAGCTAAAATGCTTATAATCTGAACATGAGAATCACAGATTTTTAGGGTACAGAGTCATAAGGGCATCTGCCTCTACACAAAGTATGAGAACACTTTAGGCTGGCTATGGATAAGTAGATGTCCTACGAAAAGTGTTGACTAGAAACCTACCCATCCTCAAATAACAGCGTACAATCAGGACCTACAGCTGACAGAATAATACAGTTTATATGTAATCCCTTTTCTTCTTTGAAAAGGAGACAGCCGGAGCCCATTAGCACACAATTTTTAGTAAAAAAATGGGAGAATTGTGCATATGATATGGAGTCCGGCAGAAACTCTTGTTATCGCTCCCTAGGGAAGGCCTACGCTGACTGATCTTTGCAATGTCATCGCTTTCAAAGATTGAGTTGGTAATATTTACCTTAATAACGCTTCCCGAGAATGCGGAGAGTATTCAATCTACTTTTATTATACAGAAGGGAACAAAAATTAAAAAATGTCTGTTGTCTGTAGCAACCCGTGACGTGATCACCTTAATTTTCTAACTTGGTCTTGAAAACGATAGCTGGAATACAGCTGCTATGAACAGGGGCGTAACCACAGATTATTGGGGCCCCATAGCAAAATTTTGATGGTGTCCCCCAGCAACCTCTCTACTGTCAATGATATTAAAGTCAGGTAGCCGGAGAGCTTCCTGCATAGTCCCCCCTGTACATAAGATGTCAGTTCTTCATGATGAATAATGTCAGTGTCAGCAGCAACTTCTGCAATCCTTATTGGGGCCCCCTTCCACCCCAGGCCCCATAGCAGCCGAATGGGCCGCTATGGCTATTGTTACGCCACTGGCTATGAACAACGTTCCATTTTCCTAACCTCCGACTTTTACATTTGAGGCCCAGTATGTTCGCTCCTTGATACAACATGTGCGATTATCATTTATATGTACAATATCAGTAGTAGCACTATAAAGTGTATCGTAAGAAAAACAAAATAAAGATCATACAATTTGAAAAGTATTGTTAGGATTTAGTATTGCCACTTTGCTCCTGTACTTGCAAAATGGAGGAGAATAGGCAAGCCTGCATGTCTGGATTAAAAATGGTCATAAAAAGTGACAGCTGGTTTTCATGCCATGATTTTTAACAGAGGGTCTATCTTAAATGTAAACATGATACATTTAAAACATATATACAAACTGTATTAAATGGCCAGTTTTGTCAAAGGTCTTAAAACAAAAGGATTGTGGTATGTTTATTCTGTTAGACTGATATTGCATGAAAGGTTTACTTCCTACCTAAACATCTACGAGATTACGATTGGAATACTATGTGGAAGTTTTTCTTTAGCATTTGATAATTAAACATCTTGTCTAGGATATTGCTCTCCAACAAGCTTGTATTATCTTTGGATATATATCATTAGCAGCTCATTATTGTGCAGTAACTCACAGCAACCAGTCCACACTCAACATTAACTGTCCTTTGATAATGAAAGAATGTGTACAATTGGATACTATGAGGTATTGAATTTTGGAGTCAGTCAGTAACATTGGGTGCTATCTGTAGCCTGTGCATACTTACAAATGATATGATAGCAGCCAGCAGCAGAATTCGGACAAGCAGATCTTCAAACTGTTCTGCAACTAACTCCCAAATTGTTTTTCCTGGAGACAAAATAAGAGTCCATCAGTTGTCAGGGACAGACAAGGCACTAGAATGTTTGCACTATCATTCATTACTATGGAGGCTAAAGGACACCTCACCACTATACTACATGTGCAATAGTCTGAAAAAAGAAACTCACCCTCCTCTGCTGGGAGCTCTGTTCAGTGAAGGAGACAAAAAAAGAGAGGAAAGAGAGTAAAATTAGTTTCTTAGCTAAACAGAGAATTAAAATAACTTTATGCAAGAATGATGACAATACAATGACACAGCAATTATAATTGTGCATGCCGGGAGGGAGCTATAATGACAGCATTTTTGTTTAAATCCAAACTGTTGTTGATGGTGGTGTGTGTGTGTATGTGTGTGTCTGTGTCAATTTATGTTGACTTATATCTATAATAAGTCCCAAAAATATATAGGGGTAGTTTTTGGCAATTCCATTACCCCGGTGAATGAATTCACCCTGTTCATCTTAGTACCGTAATTAAAGTATTCTGTTAATCCAGTGGTTACACTTACATTGTATGAATGAATGTTCATTTTTGTCATCCATTCTCCTCTAAGCACACTTGTGTTTTCATCCCTGTAGATCTATGAATGCACCTCTATGTAATTTTACTGGAATCTTGTACTTTTGATGATTCCAAAAAATATGAATCCATACTATCAATGTAAGGTACTGTAGGCCTGAATTATTTAAACTTCAGCAAAGATATTCCATAGCAACCAAATTGATTCCTTATTTCATGTTGCAAGTGAATGAAAACTGATTGTTTGCTATGGTTGCTTTGTACAAGCTACCCTTGCAAATATTATCCATAATAACTGATATAAGATTATTGCTTAATTTGTTAAATGCAAAAGAAAGATTATTGTGAGTTGCACTGAAGCAAGTGTGTTGTCAAATGACCATGTTAATGATGTTTTTGCAAGAGGCTAGCCTAGGGGTTATGTGACAGCTTTGTAAATCCTGCTGTCAGTTTATGTCACGCAGATACTATGTATGTGCCTAATGCTGAGGGAACAGAATGCTCCCGGATATGTATCTCGGGATCTTGCACCACACCGTGTGATCCTGGCCAAAGTAGCGGTGTAGAAACTCCCCGGTGCCCCTTGACCTTTTTGTACCTAAAATATGATGTAAGTTGGATGATTAATGAAGCTTCTCTTCTGGAAGGGGGACCAAAATGTAAGATATGAATTTTTAATACTCAGGTCTAGTTGTTGATGGCATTGCTAAAAAAAGAAAAGAAAAATAGCAGCGTAACCTCCAGTTAGGGCATGCGGTTTTAGTTCAAGAACAGGTAGATGTTGTGCTCTGTTAATGTCGGTACTTGGTGAGAAGCATTAGCCTTGCTAAAGTTTGGAACCTGTGCTGTTCTTTCTGCTGATGGAAAAAAAGATTCCGTGTTATTTGCAATGTTATATGTGTGTGGAAGGATTTACGATTGCAGTCCGTTAGCCTTTCTTTAGGTTATGTTTAATTAGAGACTTAGCATAGTCTCTTTTACTTGTAAAATAATAATTATTTGTTTGTATTTGTACCTTAAATGCAACTAAGCAGTGCAAAATGTAAGTCTGTCGCTAAATTTAGACCTTCAGTTGCAGTAAGCCTGAGTATAAATATGTCTATATATAGAGATGCATGACTTATTATGAATGTATTTTGGGGCACACTGGCTGACATTGAGATTTGGGAAGACCACGGTAAGGATCTCTTCTCTCAGCAGTTTGTAGCCTGGGAGTCTCTTGAAGGACACAGCGGAGATGGCTGTATATGGCGAGTGACATCATGGGTTGGATCTAATACCCCAACTCTAAAATACCTCTCACTGCCATGTAAAGGAGCCAGCTTGGCTCCAATGTATAGGGATAGTTATATTTCAATATCTATATGTCCCGCTGTATATCTTTAACTAGGCCTACATATAACTAGTTATGTATAGTATGCCTATAGTCTGAGTCTAGTCTCAGTCCTGTCGATGTCACCTGATATGAACAGTATGTGCTCAGAGTAAATCTATACATAAAACCTGCTGTGGCAAGTAGGTACTGTGTTACCTATATACATCTTTATATCACTAAGATGTCCTATATGTATAATTATGATTTAATAACTGTTTGTATGTATAGAATACAGTTTGTCTCCCTTCTTTGAACATGATCACAAATAAGGTATACATTATACAGGATAATATACCTTATTGCAGTACAGAACTTAGTCATTCTCTTTATCTATAGGCCAATATAACTGCAAGCTGTCCTGCCAGCTCATAGATGTGTGGCTCCTACTTCAGGAATGTGACATTTAGAGAGATCCCCTCATTGTCCCCCGGGACTAGTAAAAGACAATCATAGCAACTCCATAATAACACAGCCGGGAACCCCAGAGTTATGTGTCGGAGGAAGATACCCATACAGTCTATATATACTATTTACTTAAAAAAAAAAAAATATGCATCAAAATACACTTCTTCCTCCAAAACCACCTCCGTGCAGTAATTGTATCACATGCCTGGAGCACAAGAAGCACAGATAGATATGGAGGTCTCCTCTTGTCAGTGTAGACAAAACAGAGCTCATGTTCTACGGTGACCTATCTCTAACAGCAGGGTGACAAGTGGCACAGAACAGATGTCTTGCACTCCACCAGCCCTTCAATGCAAAGTGCATCACTTACATAGTCAAACATACAAGAACTAAATACATGGCTGAACATGTCAGAGGAAGGGGTGACACCACTATGCATCCTTTGCATTATAACTTTACATTCTGCACATTCATCCTTTTCTTTTGGCTCACTTTTTGCCATTTTAATTTACTTAACTCCCCTTCCGGACTAAGAAACTAATATGGTTATAGTTTCGTGATCACATTTTTCTCTATATTCCTCCCTTATGAATTAACCAGCAGCTACCTTAACATTTTCCTTGCTTTATAACATATTCTTTCCTGTCTTTATATTTTTTACAGCACCATCACAAACAATTCAGGTTGTTGGAACAAATCAAACATGTTAATGACTTCCAATAAACTATCTTTGAAACATTGCTTATTGTGCAAGTCATTTGCTTTTCCATGGACTAGGGTTAAATAAGGCTAAAGATCTACTTTATCTATAGCCTCAGCCATTCTCCAATATCACTTTTAGACAACATATACTCAATGCAATATAATTATATGGTGTTGCAGCGCTCTAAGCTTGATGTCTGCACATCAGTTTTATCCCAAAATAAACCCTTTTTCTCTCTTAGACCAACAGTGTAACTTTTTTTAAAAAATTTTTTCGCTTTGTAGAGACTTTCAGTTTGGAACAATTTCCGTTGACACATCGCACATAGAAATGGTCACAAAAAGAGATGCAACATACCATTGGGTCCATACTTGTCAAAGTTTTTCTTGACTTGATCAGCAGCGAGACCTGTGTTTTCATTGACCCCAAAATAGGCCAGGGCTTCCTCAGTGGTTTTGGCGTGCGCGTTCTCCATCCTTGCCTCTCAGCCCTGTTGCAAAGGGCTCACCTCGTCCTTAAGTTTAAGAAGTTTCTTCTCCCCCCCACCTCTTATGGTCGACCGAGTCTTTGATGGTCAGGTCCCCCTTTTTTGCAGCTGAGTATTGCAGCGTATTTTCCCTTAAGAGCCGACCCGTGGCTCAACAGCTCATCTCCTGCTCTCTGTCCTCAGCAGGAGATTGGAACACCTTTAACCCCGGACCCCACACAGAAGCTGTCAGAGAGAACCTTTGCTGGAGAGGTGCTTATAAGGGAGTTGAGAAAACCCCACCCCAACCTTATGCTGTAATTGGTTAAGGGGAGGATCAATGTCAGCTCATGCATTAATACTAGGTCCAGCCTTTATAGAAAGGAGACCCTCTTTGGTTTTTTGTTTTTGCTGACTTGATGAGCTTTGTAGGCGTGTTACACAGGCACACATACACACACACACGCACACTAGCCTGTCAATCAATGTCCAGGACAAGCTTGTAAGAAGACCCAGTGGGTGTCCCTCCCTCAGATCCCATCCTGGCAGAGAGTCTCCCCTATTTCCCTCCTCTCAGCCCATTCAAGTTATTTCTGTCACCTGTCCATAATTGTTATATATATTCAGACAGGGTCTTCTATGCCACACACTCGTTGCTTGTCACTTACATAATTACCTTCCTTTTATCTTTCTTTTATTGCTCTTGTAAATACCATTAATTGTTCCAGCTGCTTTCCACTCCTTGAAAAGTATGTTTGTGTCACACTTAGCTACATTTAATCTGCTGCCCTTATTTAACATCCAGCTACTGTTGCTTGTTAATAAATACATTCCCATGCAATACTATTGCTGTTATTGTCATTGTTCAGCGTTTGCTTTCCTCAAATATGACCGATAAAAAGTCAAACTTTTTTCTTCCAAGTTGTCATCTACAAATGCTACTGTATACAAGTCATGGAGCATATTCAGTAAGAGATTAGTAATTTGCAAAGTAACCTGTAGCAACCGGGGAGTTATCATCTTTCACTGGGCCGGTAAACCTAGATGTGCAAATCTGCAATTTAATGCTCTTTATTGCACTACATCAATTGATTATAAATAATCCCACTGGGGTACATCAATGTCTGCCTTGTGTATTGGAGGTCTGCCTTATGGAATGGATACTGTTTTGGTTTATTTTTCACTATTTTTTACAATATTTCCATTGCCATGCATTATGTGCTAATTTTAACAAATACTTTTTTAAAGGTTGTATTATGATAAAGGTAATTTGTGCACTTATCATTTGGCAGCATTCGGTATGCTAAAGTCAATTCTCGAAGATTATTGCATTGATTTTTGCTCCTACAAATACCACAGCTTTCTCAATGGCGGTTCTTCATAGTGTGTTTAGCTTAAATTGCCCAGATTTGTGACAAGTATAGTATAAAGCCTAGCTCCATTTTTTTATACCCCCCATTTCCTCCCCCTTCACATCATGGGCCCTTACTCTTGTTATCCAGCAGCCCTGGTGGGTTTTCTTTAGTGATGAACTAAACGCTCCTCACGTAATAACATACTGTATAAGCACCAGTGTGATAACATACCCCTGTAAAGGGGGTGTCCGTGACAGCCTTGGGTAGTAGGTTGGTTTCTGGCCATCATTCAACCCAGAAGAGCATCACTAACTAGTGTCAGAGTGAAGTTTACGCAGGGTACAATGCCAGATTAAAGGTGCAGATTGCATCAAAGGGTCCATTTTTATTATTAACTGCTCAGTTTATTTGTTAAACATAGCAGAAAATGGAGTTCCACATTAACAGTTAATTCAGTTTATATACAGTCAGGTACACCCTTGCCCAACATAGTTGACAGATCTTTGTAAACTCTGACTGTGTAACTATTTAGATGGTGTGGGGAAGCAGACTGCTAGGAAAGCTGTTGGTATAGCATGGGATTATTTTGTAAAATCTTTGTAGCAAGATTGCCTTTAAGGTAAGGTAAGAACGATAAAACTTTATAAAGCAGGCATGTTGTTCCTGTGAACTCCATCATTTGATACAATTTTTTCCCCCCACAGTCCAAAAATATAATGGAAAATAATTGTCTTCAATCCAAACTAAGACTACTGTGTGTGAATGTGAGATTGTGGGGTCTATTCACTAAGCTGGCGTAGGCAGCCGAGTGAAAGACCGACCTGAAGTGAAGTGTGCCGAACGCTGTTCGGCTATGCACCTGAGGCTGGTACGGCTGATTTCAGCCGTATATCGGCTGAAATCAGCCGTACATCGGGTGGCTTCGGGTCAGCCGAACACGCTCAGCATGTTTGGCCGACCCGAAGTGCAGAAGGAGTTCGACTCAGCCGATCCAACATGTGGATCGGCTGAGCCGAACCACCGGCAGGCTACTCGCTGCTGTTCGGTCTATTCTCATAGATGCCGAACAGCAGATGCCAAACAGCAGTGAGTGAGCGGCATTCGTCTCGGCTGTTCTGCTCGGTCTCTCTGGGACCGAGCAGAACAGAAAAACAGTTAAAAAAAGTAGACAAATAAAAATAGAAAACGATTGTGCGGAGCTAGCAATGACAGCTAGCTCCGCCCAACAGTTTTCTATTGGCCGGCGGTTCTGCTGCCATCAAAAGAAAAGGAAAAAAATAAAAAACCTAACTCTCCCGGGCGCTCCGTGAGTCTCCCGCTCCCGGCCGCCAAGGAGAGAAACACTGCTTTATCTTGTTTTTTTTCTTATTCTGACACGGAGCCGTGTCAGAATAGAATTAAAAAAAAATTATAATTTTTGGCCATAGGAATGCATTGCTAGATTCCTATTGGCTATTTCAATTTGCAATAGCCAATAGCAAACTAGCATTGCCCCTGCCCTCTGCTGCAGTTCTCCATCAGGTCCACTTGATTGACAGCAGCAGAGGGCGGGTGCAATGCTAGTTTGCCATTGGCTATTGCAAATTGAAATAGCCAATAGGAATCTAGCAATGCATTCCTATGGCCAAAAATTATTATTTTTTTTTAATTCTATTCTGACACGGCTTCGTGTCAGAATAAGAAAAAAAAAAGAAAAAGCAGTGTTTCTCTCCTTGGCGGCCGAGAGCGGGAGACTCCCGGAGGGCCAGGGAGAGTTTGCTGTCTGGAGATCAGTGTAACCAGGGACGCTGATCTCTCTGCAAGTGGCCGGAGCCAGACGTAAGATCATGGCTGTAAGAAGCAGGTTTTCGGTCGGCCAATGGCCGGCTGCTCGGCCAGCTTCGGCTTTCAGCGAGGCTCATCCGAGCAGAGGCATATGCGTTCGGCTCGACTGAGCCGCTCGGCCAAGTTCGGGAGCTGTACGGGCTATAGTGAATAGTCCTGGGGCCAAAGCTACCCGAAGGATCGGCCGAAGCTACGGCTAGATCCTTCTGCTGCTTCGTGAATAGACCCCCAAGTGTCATGTACTGCCCCCCCACCTTCCCAACTTGACTGGCAAGCCTAAGTATTACACTAAGAACATAAGTCAACATAGCCACACAAAGCATGCCACTTGGGACAAAGAGCCTGAAAGAGACAGTCTACCCACACTCTTTCAGTACCCTTAAAACCAGCGTCTAGGAGAGTAGTGGGAAACTGTTGCAGATCTCTGCCAGCAGTTCTGTAGTAGTGTACAGACAAAATGTGAATGAACTATAAGCACAGAGTACACTGTTCAACCACAAGAAATATAAAAACTGTGCAGGGGCAGCAAGAATTAGGATCTAGCTTGAATAGTACTGGCAAGTAGGGAGGCATTCTGCAACATTTTATTATAATTGAAAATGTGTTACTGACACTGCAGACACCAACTTAATGTGTGGGTAGCTGTCCCTCCAAATTTCAACAAGCAATCTAAACCTCTTCCACGTTTCATAAGTCACCTGAACAGATGATTCCCTATACTGGAACTAGTATTGGTAGTCATAAAGTAGAAGCTTCTATCCTAGGCTTCTCAGACAGGTGGCCAGCATGTTGACAGTTTCTTTTTTACTAATGCCAACCCTTGCATGATTTGGAATGATGATAGTGACAATGATAGTGATAGTGTCATGATGATGTAACCACAAGTAAACATATGGGACGCTCATCATATCACGAGTCGCCATCCTGGACACTGTGTCCAGATATTGTAGGACTTGAGCTGTCCAACATAGACCTGAGCTCTGCTACCACTGGCACTAAGCCCTGCTTCCCTCCTTCAACACTGTGAGTCTCGGTGCCAACAGAGGCCTTTTGTTGATGTCTGTACATCTGTGCATTCCTTTCTTACAATAAACCTAAGGTCGGTGGAGCAAGAGAAGGCAGCAGTTTCATTCCTGGAGTTTTGTGACAGCGGCCTTTTGATGTCTGATTTTTTGCCATGTTTTTTTATGTATTGATATACAGCTGACAGGTCTGTTAAAGTAACCTTGTATATTGGTTTACATTCAACCCTAGCAAGAGTAATTGTAAGGTTCTCCATGGACAGCAACAAAGTGATCAGGGTCAAAGTGTATCTCTTGCAAAACCTTTTTTGATTTTTGCAGTGGGGAAGTTTAGACCTTCGGCCATTTTTTTTCTTTTACTGTATGTGCATCATTGAGGAAATTCACCCTCTCTATTTGTAATGGTGACCTTTCTCAATGAGAAAGCAAGGGCAAATCCAAATTTTAAGAGTTGTTCCCAGGACAAGAAGAGAGGGGAAATCTTACAATGGGGACACTGTTTTAGAGACAATTGTCTGAGAAAGGAATTTCCCTCACTTTTCCTGTTGCATCTTTGAGACAGGAAGTGAAGGAAAATTACTCCAATGTTACAGAGACGGCAAACAAATAACCTGTCAGGGGGTTTAGCCTTTCCCTACTCTCTCTAAAACTATAAAAGCAACGTTTGGGCTGTACATACACTTTTTCATCTTTTTCATAGATTTCTTCCACTAGCAGACACAGGCTATCGAGATGCTTCATTTTCTTGTAGCTTTGGCACTGAATTACTATCACTGACACTAATTTACAGCTCTCAGTTATACCTTTTTGGAAGACTGAAAGCCACATCTATTGGAAGCTTATGCAGTATCCTTTCCCATGATATACTGATACTGTATCTTTATAATCTTCACAGCTCCATGTGACCGTGTGACATTGCAGTTCCAATGTGTTGTGCTAATTGAATGATAATGTTAAGAAACCCGGAGCTGTTAGCCTGACTTATTTACTTGGTGGTAACTAAGGACATTGCACCTGTGAGTGGGGGTTGCATTAGGTTCATTTCTCAGTGTCATTTGCTTGTG